AAAGAGATTAAGGCTCATTTTGGACTACACTTACATTACTTTACAATTGCTTAATGCAGTACTGATGTATCTAGTAGTTTAGTGGGTTTAACAAATGTCACATCTGTTTTTATTCATTTCAGATGCAGAAACTTTTGACATATGAATTCATCTTGACTAAGGGTAAGGTTTTTGTTCAGAATTAATCATTATTTAAAATCATTGTATTTTCTTTGTTATTATGTACAGATTTTAAAAGAATGTACTTTCTTTTAATAAAGAACTCTTCACAGCACTGCATCTGAACAGTCACAACCTCACAGAGCTGCACAACTACCCCACTCAAGATCAGTGTTGAAGCTGGAACCTCATCTTGTGTACAGCAAAGGCAGAGCTGAAAATTCACTGTTTGTCTTGTATTGTGTGGTAAGTCATAGTTTTATTTTTTAGTTTTTTATTGCAACACTAAGTAGTCCATTCTGTGGCCAATATGATATAAAGGGCCTAAAATGGGACTGACGTGATTATTGTTTTGATTTCTAGATAAGTACTCATGGGGCTACACATGCAGCTGAAGTTAGCTACATTGAGTAGGACATTTCTTTCAGTATACTCTTAAAGAGATTCACCCAAAAACGAAAATTCTGTCATTAATGACTCATACTTCACTTGTTCCAAATATGTCTGAGTTGCTTACTTCAGTTAAACACAAAAAAATTATATTTTAAAGAAAGATGAAAACCTGCAAACATTAACTTCCATAGTATTTGTTTTTTCCTACTATGTATATCAATGTTTTCAGCTTTTCAGCTTTCTTCAAAAAACTTCCTTCATGTTTAACACAAAGTAACTTGGAAGTTTTTAAAAAAGGTTTACAACCACTTGAGGGAGAGTAAATAGTGAACTGCTGCTTTAACCCAATCTAGTTGACTTTACTAGAAAATTGTATAGAAACCCAGTGCCTTAAACCCCTTACATTTTATACAATGTGCAACTTAACAGCCATACTTGAATTAAAATATTACTGTAAGTTCAAGAAGATTGTAAAGGTTATTGGTTAATTTAAAGTGGGCTGTTTAGTTTCACCTTGTGTAAAAACATAAAGGGTTTAAGGCAACATGTTTCTATGCAGTTTTCTAATAAAGTCAACTAGTTTGGGTTAAGAATGTAATGGGTTACAGTAATAGCAGTGAATCATGCAGGCATAAAATAAATGTTTAGCCATGTAAAGCAATAAGCTTGTTATAATTTAGAAATATTTTTAGGGTGGAGCACTGTATGCTGTTGTAGTTTTCATATAATTGATGAGTCAAACATGAGATGTGTGTTTTAAATTGCAAGAAGTGAATTAACAATATGTTCATCAAGATTCAAATCTTGCATCTTATATTTTTTAAGGTTTTGGCCCAATAATACCCATATTCTGCTATTTAAAAAAAAACTTGCTGGAATTTGTGTCAGCATTCCCTTCAATGGAAACTACAGCAGTGGACATCAGTGGTAATAAAAATGTATGTGAAGGATAAGGGTGTTCATAATGAGAAGTGCAGTCACTATCCTGATCTCTGAGTTTGTAGAACTGACAGATCTGCTTGGAATACATGGAAACAAGCTAGAAATGTTTAACCTATTATACAGTTAATTAAAGAGTGCCAGGTTTAATGACACTTTACATATATAAATAAATATCACTGAACTTGCTAAATGAAACCTAACGCTCATTCTTTGTTCAGTAATGATATTGTGCACTTCTAATACTTTACAGTGGCAAAACCTGGAATAACACATGGGAGCCCTCCAGGAATTGCTGACACTTTACGCCCAAGTCTCCTCATGCTAACCGGATTGCAATATGACAGTCTAGTCAGCATAAACACCTGGACTCACCAAGCACACTTTGGTTCTCAGTGTTTTGTACAAATTGTTTTTGCTATTCTTCAGTAAATACTTGAATATGTTTTGAACTTATTCTACTTTTGATGTTTAAGTTCAGAAAGTTGTTATTATAAACATAATTTGCATTTGTCATGAACTTGATTTCTTGTTGTTGTGAAAGCTGTTTATTATAATGGCATTTCCAAAGCCATCGTTTGAAAATATTTTTTGCAGTGCAGTTTTATTTGAGCTTGACATACCAGATGTATGACATGAATAAATATCACAAAATAAATATAATAATAATACAAAATATACATTTCCTTCAATTATAATTGTTTTTAATCATTTATATATGTATGGTAATATATTATTGCATTAAAAACTGTTATAAAACATGTTTTTGCATGTTTGCGTGATTTTTTTTTTTTGTGGCATTATAAATAAATTATAAATGTTTCATTAAAAATGTATTGTGTTTATTTGCATACTCATTTACAATGAACTACTATTTATACTATTTAATGGGCACTATATTTGTCATTTAAGTTTGATATATATTTATATTTGTATACCTGGAGGATGCAGGGTTTAGTTACATGAAATGCTGGAAATGTTTTCAAACATGAAGCTTTTTTATTATTTTATTATTCGTTTCAAATTAAGTATACTGCCTATGATCTGGTTTTACTATGATAATTTTGCACATCAGGTTACCCCCACAAAGGAATCTCACACGGTAAATATACATTTGTATTTTTAATAAGACAATAAATAACATGTAATATTAATACACATTTTGATATTTAGGTTATATTATAAGGTTATATTAATCTACCTTCAGCCGGAAGATTACCAAATAGAGACAAAGTGTGACGTAGATTGCGACGTTGTGATTGGACTATAACTTCAAAGCCAAATTAAAAGATCCTTCGTGTTGCTAACTATGTTTTGCTAACTTTGCCACTTTACTAACAGTGTCCCTTATCAATGAGTTATCGCTGTGTTTCAAATAGTTACCGATTAACCAAGATCGTAACCCTAAACTTAACCCTAACTACACCTTTCAATGAACTACAATTTGTAGCGCCATGTCTTTCCCGTCCCATCTATACAGCGACAAAGGATTGTGGGTAATGTAGTTTAAAGCCTTTTTGTAATAAAATGGAACAAATACAATTTTTTATGAACTAAAGACTATCTGAATAAGGTCATTGTGCATATATTTATGACATATATGAAAGCCAGGCATAAATTTGTTATTTTACAATGAGTATTTTTTTAAACAGCTTTTATTGACTTGATTAGTATATACCAGACTATTATATCCAACATTATTTATTGAACATAGCATAGGTAATAGTCTTGCTGATATTCTCTCACTCATTTTTCGTTTGAAATGTGAATACTTTTTCCTTTTCTACAGGGCTCTACTCATCCCCTTTGAGTAAAAGGGCAGTTAACCTATGTAGATGCATTATATTCAACATGGACAAGAAATTGTATTGTCACATGTACTGTTGTGGTAAAAAAAAAAAAAAAAAAAAAGCTGTAAAAATAAGCTAAACATTAGTATTTTCTTTAATCACAAGTTATTAGCAATAGTGATCTATGTTCATCACAAATATTATAAGTTCAGTTTAATATGTGTGGATGTAATTCTGTAATTGTGTTTCATTAATGGTCATCGTGTGATATTTAATTGTTTTCACTTTATTTAAAATGTGGATAAAAGCTCTTTTAAAATATGTAAATGTTTCTAAATAAAACCTTTTTAAAGACATGTATTTGTTTAAAAACACTCTTTATCTGATTATTTTTACTTTCTAAATCTTCAACTGTTTGTGTAACAGTATGTTTTGATGACAATGGATGAACTTGTGTTTAATAATGATTCCACATAATGTCTTTGTCCTGCATGTGGGTTAGTTTGATAATTATTTTCTTTATGATCAAATGATTTTAAGATTTGCTGCATTGTAAGAATCATGAAAATAGTGAGAAATGAGGTAACAATGACGAAAAGATATCCTTTCAAATGCTGCGAATAGTTCAAACCTCCAAATGATTAAAAATACATAGCCAATAACCAACAAAATAAAAATGCAAACCTTTAAATTATCTAAACTAGAAGTAAAAAAGTTCTGTGCTGTACTTATAAGTTACTGTGAAGTTCTATGTCTACAAAAAATACATATTTTATTTTACTTTTTGGCTTAGTCCCTTTATTAACCAGGGGTCGCCACAGCTCTATGAACCGCCAACTTTTCCAGCATGTTTTTATGCTGCAGATGCTCTTCTAGCCGCAACCCATCTCTTGGAAAATATTTTATTTTTTTATTTTTTATTTTGCATTCAATAAAACATTATACAAAGTTAATTTTTATTTTCTGCATAACAACAGTGGCACTGTTATCTCACAAGTACAGCAGTTTATTGTTAGACATTCTAACAAATTAATACAAATGTTTCAAAGTAAAGACAAAAATAAAAGGAGATTATTATTTATTTATTTATTTTAAATCAATGAGGACCAAATAGATCCATCAGATCTTTGATGTAAATCATAGGTTAATTTTTTCAGAGGTAGAAGTCTGGTTGCCTGACTCAGCCACATATTGACTGGAGGTATCTGAGCAGTTGACCATAATAATGTACATTTTTTGGCCAAGTATATGCAAAAATTAAATTTATCATGAAAATGTATCATAAAATTAATATTTTAAAAGCTCTTAATGTAATTTAATGTAATCATTTTATTTTAATATAGAGTTCCTTAAATCGTTATATGTTGTAAGCAGTTAGGCATACAATAATGCTCTTAATTTACAACACTGATTGATTTTAGAGTAATGCTTACATACTGTACATATCTATGTATTTAAAAAAAGAGACAACAATTTGGTTATAGATGATGAAAATTTTATTTTATTTTTACAGATTTTATTACATGCTTTAGATTCAGGGTTAAGGTCATCCTCTTCTGGATTACAGTAAAAGAAAATCCACAGTCAATGTCATACTCATCAGCTGGAGCTTTATTTAAAAAATGTCTATTTACTGCTCCAGCCAAAACTTGCAGGTACCTTGCAGGTCTCTAGATTGCACCATCATATTGTTGTTTATTTCTCAGTTATTTTGTTGCTTTCTGAGAATGATGATCCATAGACCTTTTAACCCCTCTTCGTTTAGGCCACATGTCGAATCTTAAAAGAAGAACACAACAACATAAAAATATATTAATATCATTTGGACTGGGTAACCTTATGCTTAAGTTTGAGCCAAATAATACAAATACATACCAGTACTTTTCAGTAGCAAACAAGCAGGAAAGTTCTTTGAAGGAACCAGGATTAGTTGAAAGGTATTTATAGTGGTTGGCCATCTCTGCCACAAGAATCCACTGCTCCTGAAGAATCCTGACTAGCAGGATGATGTTGAACACCCTCCTCTTTGTTGCTGGGTCAGCAGAGTCTGAAATATATTCATAAAAAGAAAGTTGTATAACAAGGATTATACGTAAACTTTTAAAGAATCAACACTGACAGAAGTCTAGTGTACATACCATGCCATATGATGAAGACATCCATATCACTTCTGTTTTTTGTTGTCTTTGCTTCTGCAACTGAAAAAATGACAGTAATAGTAACACTTACAATTTTTCATGACTACATGTAATATTAATAAGAATTTCCTCACCGTCTGCCCACTCCTCTACATCACAGACCAAAGTCTTCCAATTGGTTTCCAGTCACTGCCAGTTTCATGGATTCTGTTTTCCAACTTGCTTTGCAGAGCTGTTGCGGTCTACAGTGATAAGCAATCAAAAATCACAATACTATTTAAATAGGTTACAGAACAACTAAAACAAATTCTACTGGATATTGTTACCTTCTGATATCAATAGGTCGGCGAGATGGCCAAATTGTTGAATATCTGCTAATTCCAGCACATGACCATGAGAGTTACAGTAGCATGTCTGGTCACTGCAATCCTAGAGAAGAAACATTGCACTGTTCAACCTCCTTCCCAAGAGTAAAACCAGGCATATCCTGGTATGCCTCACTCCATTTCACCTGGTTAACATATACAAAAAAACAAACAAACAAATAAGTAAACCAATAAGTTTTGGCATTTACCTGTAGATCAGTTTAAGATAATCATATAGCTCATCTATCTCAGATATAAACTCATGTGCTTAGGCATGAAACACACTAAAATCATGGGCTTAAAGATGGTGCTGAAACTTTGGACAGCTTTTTTGCAACTCTTTTGGAGGTAGTGTCATTAGTTGATGTAGTCCACAAATCTTCCTGTCAATCCTTAATCCTTAGCTGTAAATAAACCTTCAAAAATGCCAGTGTTTGGAAAAAGGAATGAAACAGTACAGAACAAGTGCATAACAGTTTATATCTTCTAATCTAATTTTACTAGGTGAACATCAAAGAGCTGTTTTCTTGTTAATTTAGTTTCAACACATACAGTTTAAAGTACCTTGTGCATTCTTGAAATGGTTATGCTTATGGTTCATATCTACTTAAATTGGCAGTATATCTAGTGTGGAAGCAGGACAGATGAAGGGCTCTTCCTTGCAAATACTATCCACCTTGTATTGCACAGACTCCCACTCAAGAATATCTCAGAAAAATGTCTGCTGAGATCTTAGCAGTCCATTTAAAATAATTATACCAACATCTTTTCCACCAATGGAAAGAATATAAAAATATTTTAGGATATATTAATTCGTGCATGACCAAATCTGAGATAAAAAGGCCATCAGTATGCCTTAGTTTAAATAAAAACAAAATTTGACTCTAGCCCACTGTCACCTGGGTCTACAGATACAGGGACTAATGGAAACAAGGAAGTACACACTGACAGTCACTGGAGCAAGGCTCTCTCACAGTTGGGAAGATTGGAGTTCCTATGAGCTGTACCAGATAAAAACAACAAAAAATGTACATTTATAACATTTCTAACTTATCCTAAGACTAGTAGACAAGCAGCATAAGCAGTTCTAATTTCCTAAACCCCAATGTGGACAGTTGATGGCCTATAAGGTGTCATAAAATCAGACAAAACAAAATACTTTCTGAAAAAGAAAAAAATGATTGGCCACTATCAACACCCAGAACAAATAGTTTTAAACAGTTAGGCCACAATATTTTGTGAGCTTATGCTGTAGTTTTTAATGTTTGTCATAAACAATAGTAATAGTAAAACTAATGCGTCTCTTTCTGTGATTACAATAGTAGTGAAAGAATAAATGCATTTTATCTCATACAATCATATATGCCTAAACAATGTAGATATTTAATATACATGGAATGAAAAACTTCACTAACCCTTGACTGATTCCAGAGTGGTCTTGGCCTTCCTTACATGGTGGTGCTTCCTGCAGATCATCAAGTTGTCATCAAGACTTGAGCTTATAATTGAGATCTTGATGATAAATCTGAGTATAAAGGAATCACTCATGGTGATAGGCAGAAACAGGCTGAAAGACACAAGAATGAATCAAACAAATACAAATGTGTTAACAGAGATAGAGAGAGAGACAAGTGCAATTTAACATATAAACATGGGTAAAGTGATTTAACTTTTTGCTTATTAGAAAACAAAATTGGATTTTTAAAGAAATCTAAAGAACCTGAAGAATATTCATATCTGAACAGTATATATATATATATATATATATATATATATATATATATATATATATATATATATATGTGTGTGTGTGTGTGTGTGTGTGTGTGTGTGTGTGTGTGTGTGTGGTAGATTAAGCTGTTTTTTGTTTAGTTTTGTGTTGTAAAATGAATAAAATGTGCTCAGACGGGCAAAATTTCTGCCTTTTTTCCTTTAAAGGCATGGAAAATTATTGTTTTTACAATAAACGTTTGGAAACACTTGATGTTCTTTAATATTGAAACAATTACGAATACATTTGTATTATTAGAGTTGCATATTGCATATTATATATAGATTTTGCACGAATTCTATTGTGGAAAACAACAATCTGGTTACACTGTTCCTTATCTTAAAATGTATATATTGTTCAAATGCATGACCAATGTTATATGTGAGAAAAATATATTTTTAATAACTTGATGTAATTAGTTAACGTCGCTAGTTTACAGTACATGCTTTATCAACAAATCGTCTTTATTTGTTTACTTTTTACTTACCTTGTGGAAAACGCAGTGAACCTTGGGATCGCAATGAACCTTGGGATAGCGAGCATAGACTGTAAAAAATAGATCGCCACATACAATGACCCCAACTTCAATGAATCGTTTAAAATGAAAAATATCAGCCAAAAACATTTTTAAACTTAGTACCTGAAATGCAATATTTTTTAAAGTAAAAAAACAATAAATAATATGAATGAATCAAAGTTTTATTAGGCATAGTTACTCTAAACTGGGCAACCGAATATAATTTCACTCATTAAATATGAAGTAAATGATAACATATTTATAAACACCAACTAATCTCCAATAAAAATACATTATGAAGCATTAACATACTATTTAATGTTGACAGTTGAACTCATCTGTGAACTCACCGCTGATGCAGTTTGACCAATAGCAGAGCGGCGTTAAACTCACCGTGAAGGGATGTCACGTGGACCGAAGTTTATTCATACAGTAGTTTCGACCCAGTTTACAGACGCTTTTCATGAACAAAATAAAAATTACATATTTTAAAATAAGAAAACTAAGATAATAGGCGTAAATCAGGTTTTAAAAATTGCGTTGACATCTATTGGTAATTATACGAGCCTCCAGCGTCTCCCTATGACGCCTCAGGCTTAGGCACAGATTCTATAGGGAATCCCTGCACGTCTAAATATGACGCTAAAGGGGTACCCTGTTCGTCAATAACTTACGCCGAGGGTTCCTGACCAAGCGTCAGTATGTGACGAGTTGGGAGTGAGAACGTGTTGACTCCAACAGCTTCACTAGCTGCCCGTCAAGTCTCTTATTGACATTGATTTTAACACATAAAGCGGTTCATGGTTCTGCTTCAGGTTACATTTGTGACCTGATATCCATTTCCTCTGCCTCTCACTGTCTACGCTCTGCCTCAGGTCCGACGATGTTTCAGCCTCGCTGCAAACTCAGCACCAGGTAGGGCGTTCTCTTTCTGTGCTCCCAAACTGCGGAATGCTCTTCCCATTAACATTAGGAATGCTGGTTCACTGGACTGTTTTAAGAAGCTACTTAAAACTCATCTTTTTAGGACAGTTTTTAATTTGTGATATCTCTTTTATTCTTACTGTGTTTTTTGTACTTCCTATTGTTTTACTGTGCTTTTTTGTTTTTACTTTCTTGTAAGCGCTTTGGGTTTTAGTAAAACACGTTATAAATAAAATGTATTATTATTATTATTACTTATACTGTAGTACTTCAGCTGTAATGCATCACAAGGCTTGTTTTGAAGGCTTTTTCTCTGTGTTATAAATGCTTAAGAGCAGCCAAAATAAAAGCTAAAACAGTTTATTTATGATTATTTTGAATGAAATATGATTTTCAAATGTTGGTCTAATTTATCTGACTATACATCTATCAGATGAAATGGTGAAATTCATCTTTTCCTTTCAATTATCACCGTGATCATGTAATTTGTGAAAATGTGATTTGTAATTAAAACATAAAATAAAGAATGTGTTTGACCAGAAATCAGACTTTTTCTTTATATTAAAGTGTAAATTTTTTTTGTTGGCTGCCTTAAGTCTGATATTTGGTCGTTTCTTTGGACATTCTGATGTAAGTAAAGTGTTTGATTTGTGCACAAGTATTTTTTGTCTAATTTCAGACCAGAAGATAATTAGAAGTGAAAGTAAACTTCAATGAAGTTCACCTGGTTATGCAAAGCTTTTCAAAAACTATTCAAATGGCACTCTGGGAAGCAAAGTAAGCCCAAGCAAAACAAAGGAAACCTGTTCCTTGGCATAAATCGTGAAAGCAAACAGTACAACATTTGATTCATAGGAAAGTGTTGTACAATGTTTTTTTTGTTTTGTTTTTTTGAACATGTTTGTTTTATTTTGTTCTAATCTTCAAAAACGACAGAGTAATTTGGAGCTATTTGTTTTCCTTTTAACATTCAACTTGTTGTAAAGCTTGTTTATCACTAATCATCAAGGAAAGTACCTGTCTGATTTATTAAACTACTTCCTCAAAGCAAGAGAGATCTGGTCAGACCTGTTAACAAGCTGGAACAAGCAACAAGCTTTTAGCAAGGTGGTTAGTACATTTATTTACATAGTTAGAAATATTAAGTTCACTGTAAAGGTTTAATTAAGTACATGCTCAACCATTTAAGGTTTAATTTTAACTGTGTATTAAACTTCAGGTAAAAGATATTCATGAACTTTTATATAGTTAGTTCTTAAGGGTTACAGTGAATTTTTCATCTGTCTAGAGTTGCACGAATATCAAACATGGCTAAAGGCTCCAAAATTAATCCAGGCAAGTCAATCACACACACACACACACAATTTAAAATAAAAACATGAGTTAAAACCTTAATTTCAAAACTGCCTGATGTGTTTACTTGTGTAATGGATGTAATGTTTACTGGATAAGTTGGCGGCTCATTCCACTGTGGTGACCCCTGATAAATAAAGGGACTAAGCCAAAGGAAAATGAATGAATGGATAAAAACAAGTAGTGCAACTTCATTTGTGGTACATTCACAGGTAAACATAATTTCTTCAAGATGGATTTTAAGTGTTCGGTGCATATAGAAAGAGGTGTTTTTTTTTTTTTTTTTTTACAGATAGAGTTTCTCTAAATTGTGCTTTGTCAAGCCCACTCACCTGTGTGAAGAAGAGCACTTTAGCTTCTCTCAAATGTGACAAATGGTGCATTCCAAACGGGACATGTCGCCCTCTGAATGAAGGGCACTTTGTAATGAAAATGCTTGACCACCACATCAAGTGTTGTTCCAAACTGAAGTTTTATTTCAGTATGTTGACGTTCTGGGCAGCACGGTGGTGCAGTGGGTAGCACAATTGCCTCAGTAAGAAGGTCGCTGGTTCAAGTGATGGGTTGCAGCATCCACTGTGTAAAACAGGGGTGGCCAACCCTGTGGCCAACCCTGTGGCCAACCCTGTTCCTGGAAAGCCACCTTTCTGCAGATTTCAGTTGCTACCCATATCAAACACACCTGAACCAATTAATTAGGACCTGAACACCATGTGATAATTACAGACAGGTGTGTTTGATATGGGTAGCAACTGAAATCTGCAGGAAGGTGACTCTCCAGGAACAGGGTTGGCCACCCTTGGTGTAAAACATACGCTGGATAAGTTGGTGGTTCATTCCCCTGTGGCCACCCCAGATTAATAAAGGGACTAAGCTAAAAAGAAAATGAATGAATGAATGCTAATATACTTCCAAATAACACAGAATATTGAGTAGGAGGCGGGGCTTTCTTTTGCATGTCATTCCCTCATAGCAAACTAGCAGTAGGAGTGGTTAAGGACATTAATATATACTATTAATATCCTTAAGTTGCTATGGAAGTCCTCAGGTTACCGTCAACAGAAGGACCACCACTCCAAACACAGAAGCAACTACTCAGACTTTGATGAAAGATTACCAAAACAAACGTCTTTCAGTGGATTAACTTGCACAGATGTATTATTCACCTTAAGAAAAACAATGTGAGGTTGCAAAATAAACATTGTAAATGTTCCGAAGTGCTTTGCAGAAAGAAGTTTTGTTTTTGCCCTCCGAACACTTCATCGCTTCAAAGCTGTCACTCTGTAAAAAAAGGGTTAGTCAAAGTCAAAGTCAGCTTTATTGTCAATTTAACCAGATGTACAGGACATATAGAGAATTGAAATTACGTTTCTCTCAAACCCATAGGTGTCTAACATATAATATTAATACAAAAAGTAGAGTTTTAAGAAAGAATTTACAATAAATATAATTATACATAAAATGTAATCTAAATATATACATAAAATGGTATTATATACATAAAAAAACTCTGCAAACCAGAGTTGTGGAGATATAGAACAGTATAAAGTGCAAAAAGGCTTGTAAAGGCATGATATATAGGCCGGTAGTCTAATGTTGCATAAAGTGACCAGTGCAGATGTAAGTGTGTATGAGTGTGTGTTTTCATATGTTTCAGAGTCCAAAGGTACGTGGGGAGGGAGAGAGAAGCGGTGGCAGAGCTGGGAGAGAGTTCAGCTTCCTGACAGCCTGATGGATGAAGCTGTCTTTCAGTGTGTTGGTCCTGGCCTGGAGACTCCGCAGTCTCCTCCCTGATGGCAGCAGACTGAAGAAGCTGTGCATTGAGTGGGTGAGATCTGCTGTTATGCAGAGGGCTTTTCGGGTGAGATGGGTGCTGTAAATGTCCTGGAGGAAGGGGAGAGGGACACCAATGATCTTCTCAGCTGTTCTCACTATGCGTTAAAGAGGTTTCCTGCAGGATGCATTGCAGGCTCCAAACCACACAGTGATGCTGGTCAGGATGCTCTCAGTAGTGCCTGAATAGGGCATAGGGATGAGCCCTTTGGAATGAAACGCAGTTCAATTTTGGAGAAAGGTGAAATGCCTTGTGTTTCATGGTATTAATCTTTTCTTTGATGGAGAAATGTGGGTTTCTCAACCTAATATAAGAATGCATGTTAAAA